ACCTGAAATAATTATAGATGCAACCACAATTAAATCAAAATGAAGCACGCTATAAACTAACTTCTATTAGTTTTATGTACAAATGACTAAATTAACCATTATCTCCCATGAGTGACCAAGAAAAGATTTTTCCTTACAATATTGATACAATATCAAGAAGACAAGTAATGATAATAAAGAAAAATATCAATTCGCCGATTGATTATTAGCTGCTCCAAAGCCAAATTCTCTGAAGTAACAGCATAGGAAATTTATGGCAGACAGAAAAGAGAATAACTAAAGAGATCTTGGGAGAGGAAAGATTGGTGAAAGAAAAAAACATACCAATTTCCAGCAGTGATCCATCTTCCTCGACTATCTTTAGAGAGAAAAAAAACAGTTTGCAAAGGCTGGTGTTTTTCAAATGAAACTACAGGATTGTTTGTTTTTCAGATTCCATACCCACAAGTATTTGAGTATTTTATTTACCTGGAAATTTCTAAACCAAATTCTGTTGTCTTCTACTGAGAAAGATAAAACATGATCCACAAATGGTTTGCTCTTGGGATGAAAACAAGGAGTACTAAAAATCTGCGAACAAAACAGACAGACAAGTAAGAAAAAGCACAAAAATACTGTGCTAATAATATATGTGAAAAAATTAGGCACATCTGATTGGCTGAAAACAAGTACATTTTTCATGCAAAACGATTGCAAAGTTGTCAGACCGTCAAAATTTTGTCTGTCTTAACTTTGTCTGATGCTTCTATATTTCTAACTATTAACAAGTATCCACACAATGTCTTGTGCAATTTGGTGCAAAGAAGCACATATAAATTTTTCAGACTGCAAATTGCACTCACTACAGGCTCATGCAATTTTGTTGTCATTGAAAAATTTGCTTGTGCTTATTAACACCAAATTACACTTATAATCATAGTATTGCCTATACACAGAGTATATAATGAAAGTATAGTGTGATCTTCTGGGTGAGTGTAGTCCTGAGAAGGACTGTTGTCAGTGGCGGTGACTGACGTGTATGGAAGTCATCATCAGAGTCAAGTGAAGAGTTGTTGTCAGTAGAATGTTCTTAGTCCAGTTCGTGCAAAATGATTGTTCAGAGTGTACATTATATACATGATAAAAAAGAGAAAGTCTGTTGTCCAGCCAAGTGACTCACCTAGCCAGGTCCTATTCTAGAGTATCTATTTCCTGTAAACATGACCCGCCTAGATTAGCTTAGCTACCTGTGGGCATGTTACTGTACTTTTATCCCAAAACATAATAAAATGTATGTAAAAAATGTAACAGAGTCTGCAACATGAACTGACTAAGAGTGTTGCTTCTCCTCCCTGGATGGGATACCCTAACATTGCACCCACCCTCTCCCCCAGAATTTTATCATGTTTCCCTGAATTTTTTTTTAAATTCCTTTTTTTTGTACCACATAATACAATAACAATGAAAGAATTAGTGTCCATTAGTGTTGTTAAGTACCACAAAAAGCTTTATACTTGAAGTATTGTAATGTAACTAGTAATATCATAAGTGACATAACATAGTTATACTATTAGTGAAGCAACATAATCAGTAATTAGTGGTATTGCATCTAACATATAGTAATTAGTAATATTGTAAGGTAACTCAATTAGAAGCATAGCTGTGAGTATTCTATCTTAGATTGTATTAGTGTTGTAGTGTCCACTTTGTGATCAATGTTTCTTAAAAAAAAAAAACATTTTGGATAAAAAAAAATAAGAAAAAAATAACAAATTACTTCCAATGTTGTTACCTACCTGAATGAACATTTCCTTCAAAAGCGAGTGCTGAGGTGTTTTATCAAAATGCTGTCATGGAGTAAAACCAAAGAGTATATTACCATATCAGTAAGAACTGACTATACTCCAGGACACTGGCTCTATGCTGCATGTGTGTATACTTTTAGTACAAGTGTCTTTGTCAGCAGGGAATGATATAAAAGGATAAAAACAATGCAGAGAACATTTTAAGGGAAAATCAAAAATAAAGTGTGAAATCAGGTGCAACAATTCTGTGCTATCCATGAACCCGATGACACATTTCTTTGTTTATAATGTGGTTTTGGAAGTAGATTAAAATATATTGCTCCATGAGGTAAATGGCAATCCTGTTTTCAATAAATTTAAAACTACTCAACAAAAACTATGTATTGTTGATTTTTTCTCTAACCTGATCAAATGATAATATTGGTCTTGATCCTTTCAGTGCATTTCCTGTTAATTTAAGTTCATCCATTGTGTGCACTAAAGAACCAAAGGAAAAAAAAATGGTCAATTACATAACCATGCACATAAATTCTGTTATGATAGTCATTTTTAATTTTTACCACAATTACAAGTAATGGCTCAATCTAATTGGCCAATTTGCCATTGTGGATACGAGTACAGACAATGCTGCTCATGTCAAAGCGATACACAACATATCATACACTGGAAAAATTATTTTATTTTATGTCAATATTATTGTGGTAAATAACAAAAAYCAACAGTGGCTTAACAGGGCCTGTACTCTAATTGACAACAACAGTTCTCATCATTGTGGTAAAAATTTGTTGCAAACTCACTTGGCTGTGCCTTGTGAGTCCACAAATATCCTTGTTGATAAGAGTACAGACCATGCTAAACCACTTTTGATTAATTTTAAAATAATATTATGATTTTCATTTGTTAAGTAGTCTTTATTGTTGAACCCTAAATACAGTTGACAATAACTCAGTTCAAAATGTCCTTAGTGGCCCCTGGCTGTACTTACCATTTTCAACTAAAAACTTGGCAGATGGTCCCTGTGGTGTACAAGAAAACCTTTAATAATGACAGAAAAACACAGGCTCAGCTCAGGGGTGTCCAGTGTTTCTTATATATTACACACAAAAATAAATTTGAAGTATAAATGAAACAAAATGCAAAACCCACCACATATAAAGGTCTTGTCCTTTTCTCATCTCAAAAAAGACACATTTAAAACAATTCTTCATTTCACAGACCTGAAAGTGAAAGTGAACAACATTTTAATAGTCTATATTCCGGTACTTTGTACCTAAACATAATATCTGCCAATAACTCATTCATTATAAACACAAGTATAAAATGAAAACTTTATTACCAGTAACTAAATATACTCTACATAAAAGTACATTATCCTTTAAAAATGCTCAAGGATGAAAGAATACAGTAAATCCCCTATTAAACCCCCTCCCCCCTAATAAGCCCCCCTCTTTAGAAGAAGAACTTCATTAAGCCCCCCACCCCTCCCCCTCAAAAAACAAAGTACTGTAATTTTAGTACCGGTAAGTAACTTAAAATTGATTATGATGATTCATTGATTGATGTTATCATGTTGGCATCAATAGAATAAAGTATACGGAAATTACAGGCTGATAAACAAAGTCCATTGAGGGAGTTAGATCATAAAATTGAGTTCTTTATTGTAAGGTGCTTGAGTTCCAGCTTCATGTGCCTAAGTTTTTCCACTTTTTGCTCTAAATTTTGGGCTAAATTAATAAACACCACCTCTAATAA